TTCTTGGACGCATAAGGGATACACCGAACGGTATATTAAGATTCCGTTATAAATGAACAGTTCATAATTATAAACATTAGGGACAACTAACGGGATTAACCTACTTTTGGTTGATCCGGTTTATTTTGTCATAAAACTGTCAACTGATTTTTATACTACTTAATGGCATCTACTACTAATTATTCTGCTATGTCACAGTTTCTGGAATTTCCCCACTTCTTCGAATTCCCGAAGGGGTGTGACACAGCAGGAGATTGACTGCGATGTTATCACTATTATTAATATTATTATTGTTATTATTATCATTATTTAATAATGTAAGAAATAGTGCTAAGAAAGTAAAAAAAAACCTGAACCACATGCGAATGGAGAAAAATCCTTCCATCAGAGCTTATTATTTCAGTCTGAACATAGCGCCTACTCATTGCGGGGCCTAGAATCAATACCCTGAATTTAATTAAGTAATTACAAAATCATCTCATTCAGTATGTTTATGACAGATACCCTACTTACCGGTTTCGAAACGAATGTCTCATGAGTGGTACTCTGCAACCGACGTTGTTGGCCCGGATAGAGAATGGAATCTGTAAAAACCGGCATCTCACCGAACCGCAGGGATGGTTCCGTGTGTTTGGACGGGTCGTTTCCAAAAAAATTCTGATATGTCGTCTTTCCATAGAATGTGGCCTCACCAGTTTCGGTCTGGGGCAGAATGACACGGCATTTTCGTGGTACTGTGGTATCGGTGGATTTTCTACTTCCTTTTCCCTCTGGCTTGATACCTGTCCTTGTCTGTTCCTGGCGCAGTTTCATCAAAAATGAAGCAGTCTGCTCCGGAAATGTGGCAATCAGCTGATCCAGTTCCGGATCTTCATGGACGGGAACGGCCAGATCCTCCTGAACAGTCATATTGCCTGTATCCGGCATGCTGTTCGTCACAGCGGAAATTACGTTCTACGCGTGGTTCAGTTTTAGTTTGCCGCTCCGCTCCGAACTAATCAAACGAGACAATAATCTGCTCGCGTTTTTCAACTTTCAACTTGAAATCAATGTTGCCACGGGCAACGCTTGTGGTGCTCTCGATTGTATTGTATTG